TAAAAAGGAATAAAATGAAAAAGTTGGTTCCTCAGCCACACTAACCACATCTCGAGTGCTCCGTAACTACGTATAGCTGCTACTGTGTTGGACAGCGCAGGTAAAGGGCATTTTCATCATTGTGGAAAGTTCTATTGGACAGCACTGCCCTCGAGAACACCCTTCTGTTTTCATATTTAGTCACGCAGTTCCTTTCTCCTCTGACTTCTCCCACAACACTGGCACTTTGGGAGGGGAATGCACACCCAGCTTCATGGAGCTCCTTCGTCATCATGAGCAGCAAGAGTGACTGTGAACTCTTGACCTAGCCCATCATCACAGGGACATCAGTAACCCCATGTGACAAAGGAAAGAGAAAGGCTTTTGAAGAATGAATTTTAGTGACAGGTAAAGAAACTTATAGACAATATTAGGGGACAAAGTAAGATACAAAATGATACATATATATACCGTTTTCAGTTTTGCGTGTATATATCCATTTGTGAATCCTGGAAGCAAAGATAATTCTTCATTTCTTTTTTATACTAGTCCACATTTTATAGTTGGTATAATTAACCTCAAATATTTTTATAATTAGAAAAACAAGTTTGTTTTTAGAAGGAAAAAAAAAAACCTCCCAAAATTTAGGAGAGGAGAGATGATTCTCTTTGACCTTCAGGAGCTGCGATTTAGGTAGAATGATTTATCTGCAAATTCCTTCCCTGCTCCATTCTTGGAGGTAAAGTAACTTCTAAAGTGAAGAAGGGATGATTTTGTAGATAAATGTGACAACGAGCATTTATTGTCAACTTACATTCGTCTGTGCATTCTCATGCTTATAAATGTATGTGTTCTGGCTCTAGCTGTGCTGTCTATTCTCAAGGACAAGGTATCATCCTCTATTTCTTTGGTCTCTCCAACAGCACCCTAACCAGCCCTTGATAAGCGTTATTGACTGACTGACTGACTGACTGACAGATTGGCTGACCTTCTCATTGCTCTCAGGTTTTATGTCCACAAAATGTGTTAACGTCTTGCCTCATTTCGCTTTGGGTCCGAGAAGCAGTGTTCTCTCCAGCTTTGCTATGTGAAATCCAGCTGCTGGAATACAGGAGCCATTCATCAGAAAATGAGTTAGGCTTTCTCTGGGTTTGTGTGTGGCAAGACCCTAATGGAATTTTTTTTTTTTAATTTAGTTAGTTTTATGGAAATAGTGCTGGGAAGAGAATATGTTAAAACTCCACGTTTGAGAGACCGCAACCATCCACACCATGTATTTGGCATTTCTAGTAACTGGCTACTTGGAAGGAGGGATTTAATAAAGAGGACTTTTCTTTTCTTGAGTTGGCTGTTAGAGTGATAAAACATGCTTGTGAAGCCATTCTCGTTTTGACAGTTTCTTGTGTCAGCCAAGACACCCACAGGCAGGAATTACAGTCTACTCTGCCCCCCTCACTTATATCCAGACTGAGAGATGGAGCTCAGAATGTTTAATATTTAACTTCACGGGTGTCTCTTACCACATCACAAACCTTTTATACTCACACACATCACAATGCTTGGATTTAGACCGAAGCCATGTGACATTTCTGCTCTCTCTTAGAAACAGGAGAAAAGATAGGAAAGGGAGAACGAATTGGTTTTTTACTAAAGGCCAGTGAAATTCTCTATCATTGTGCCTGAATAATTAATATCCCTATTTGGGGAGTTATGGGAGTTTGGTGAAAAATGTCTCCTCTTCTTAGAAGGGTAATATTACACTGAGGGGTGCTATCTGGGAATTTATGGGTGACAAATTTGAGCAGAGCCACACAGGGGTACAGATAGCAAATATTACCTGTTTTGCTCAGTGAGGAAACATCGCATTCTAATAGACCAACCATGATGGTCCATGGCAGTGTTTTACTGCCAAGGGCTATGCCATGTTTACATGTGACTGCCAGCAGGTACCCAAAGTCAAGGTCAGTCCAAAGAACCACCCAAACCACATAGCTGCCCATCCCAGGTTCCTTCAAACTCTCCAACTTGTTGCTGCTGGAGTGACTGAATCAATCAGTTATGTGCGCCAATTTGTTCAGGATCTAGGAACCAACATGGGTAAGAGGAATACAGCTCAGATCTCCAAAGAGCCAAGAATGTTCCAGAAGATTTTACCCAGGAACTTGGGGTGCACAACATGCCTGCTTCTGTGTTCATTCTTACATTTGGTTATTGCCAAGGGACTTATTTGTTGCTTCTTTGAAATTTTTATTTCCCTTAATAACTTTATTTCATATTTGAGAACTACATTATCATTGCGACATAATTTTACATTTTATTTTACTTATTCATCAAACATATATTATATAAATTATATTATTTATATTGTATATTATATAAATATTAATTATGTAGTTCATTATATTATCAAATTATATTATGCAATATGTAAATATTAACTCATTTGATCTTTATAATAACTCAGTGACTTGTAGTTATTATTAACCCCATTTTACAAATTAGAAAACTGAGACACCAAGAGGTGAAGTAATTTACCAAGACTACAAAATTGATAAGTAGTTGAGCTAGGATTTGAACCCAGGAAGTCTGGCTCCAGAGTATTTGCTCGTCACCACTATTAAAATTTGGAAAAGAATAAAGGCAAAAAAAAACCCCTAAAAATACCCAAGGGCAACTATAGATATGTTGTGTTGCCATCTCTATTTTCTATCTTGCTTTTTTAAAAAAAACTGAACGTTAGAATGATCTTTGCATGTTGCAAATATTGTTTTAATGGCTATTTAACATTCCTGTCACATACATATACCGCTCCTTGCTTAACCCTTTTCTCGTGGTTGGCCATTTTGGCTGTTCAGTTTCCTGTTAAGATCATTAGCACAGTGATGACTATCTCTGCGCAGAATTTCTTGTGTTCTTCACATTGTACTTTTAGGGTACATTCTCAGAAGTAAAACTCCTGACTCCAAGAGTATGAATACTTTTATTGTTATTGATAAAGGTTGTCAAATTGTTTTCCAAAAGGCTTGTACTCTCCTGAAGTGTCTACACCACTGTACAAAAGTGCCTTATTCATTGTTTGCACTCCAGCATGGAGAATGATTTTTAGAAATCTTTGCTAATGTTATAGATAGAATATGGTATTTTATCATTGTTTTGATGTTTATTTCTTTGATGGCTAGAGGGTTGATAGTTGTACTGGTTAATCCGTTATGAGTTATTCACAAGTGGCCTGTTTGGGTCCTTTGCCTGTCTGTCTGTTGAGATCATGCAGAAGACTTAGAAGATCAAAAGGAGAAGAGATATTCCTTTTTTATTTTTTCTTCTTCTGCCTTGACGTGATATTTCCTTAGATATTTTCCTAGTCTATACTGCTAACGAGCATTTAATTTCCCCAAATCTTATGTAGATTTTTCTGTTGATTCCATATAAAGTATACTACTGTCTGCTTACAAAGGGTATAATTTTGTTTTTTACTATGAATGTGCCCTGGCCTAAATCTGCATTGATCTTTCTATCTTGGATCATCAGCCCCTAGAGAGCCAGGCTGTGTTTTTATGAGCAGTTAAGCACACAGTCTTTGTTGATGTTCATGGCAACCATAGAACAGGCCTCCCAGCCAAGGGTAATCTGAGCTGTTGCACCGGCTACCTTGCGGGTGCTGATGAGAAATGAGAAGAGTTGTAAGCGCAGTAGGCTGGACGTGTCAGCGCTGGTCTTACTTAAACAGAGCTAAGAAGAACCCAAATAGTACCTTTGCTACCTGTTGATCGGTGGCTCAGATTTCTTTAACAAGGCATAAAGCCTTTCAATCTTAAGAAAAAGAGGCAGTTCTAGAGGAAGGGGGCACACAGGGGTTCAAAATCCACAAATGAGTGGTGTGTTCTCCATCACTTAATGTTTATGGAAGGAACCCTGGAGCACTTCCTCTATCAATACCTCGGTTTTGTCCATCAAAACCAGAATGCTGGTATCAATAATAACTGACATTTATAAAGCACTTTAAAATGTTCTAGATGGACTTCTTTATCCAATGACTCAGTCTTCACAATAGCCCTGTGAGTTGATAATGACATTCACATTTTACAGTTGAGGAAACAGACACAATGAAATGCAGAGAGCTAGAAAGCTGCAGAGCCACAGCTCTCCCTTCAGTAAAGTATGGGATTGATGTTTCGTTATTATATTTTTAAAAGCATATTATACTCCAAGAAAATAATCCATTGACTTAAACTTATCATGAGGCAAGAAGAAAGAAGGAAAAGGTAAGTTATTATAGGAGGTTTGGCAGATCATAGAAAAGGACCACATAGGATCCTAAGGCAAACTCTGTTGAATGAGAAAAAAGTTGAAGGGGGTAGATGAAACGAGATCATCAAGAGGTTGATGATTATTTTCAAACATTAAGAAATCTTTCATCATATTTCTTCATTATATCATTTATTCACTTCCAGTTTTCCCATTTACTGCAAAGATCAAGAATAATAATAAAGTAAATTGTAGTATATCCAATTATGGGATACTATGTACCCATTCCGAACAATGAGGAAGATATAAATGTGTATGAATTTTGGAAAGACAGATGAATGGGTAGGTAGATCTAGGCTGCATTTTTTTGAGGTGGGTTTCATTAAGAGCACTCTGCAGGTTTTTACCAAATGACAAAAATAGAGTAGAATATAGCATAAAGTTAAGTTCAGGAAGATGCATTCAAAACCTGGTGGCTTCGAAGGTCTGGGGTAGTAACAGTCCCTGAAGGTCAGGCCTTTGGTGTCCAGGACTCTGGAGTGAGTAGGGAAGGTAAAAATGTTATAAGCCAACAAGCCTTGAAATCCCTGGAAGGTCAAAGAGCTTCAATCCAAAGAGAACATTCCAAATGCTTGCCTGGGAGATTTTACAAGGTGGCCTTAAGAGTTAAAGGCATTTTGTCATATGAAGCCAGGCTAAGTGAGGTTTCTGGCTGGGTTGTAATGATCTTTGGAACTTGTGCCCTGAAGTAGCTCAATGCCATACTTGCATTTCAGGATTTTATGGGCAGCTGCAGACATTCTGCCCCCCTCATTACCCTGACTCCCAGAGAACTGTGCCGCCTGGCAGCTCCTGCAATGTGGTACCTTCCTTCGAGGACTGCCTGGTCCCCACGTCCATGGGCCAGGCTGGTTTTGATGTTTTCCACAGAGCCTTCTCGGCTCACTCGGGCATTACAGGTATGTCGGGTGTCTGTGACTTAGAAACTCGGGCCTACTGGCAGGAGAGACCAGGTGGGTTTCCCATGACCAGCCTGGACTGGACTTGGGCCAACACGTGACTGCATCATATCTTGTCGAACTGCCCCTGAAATATCTGCACTTTCCTCTCCAGCCCCACTTCCTCCACCCTAGTTCAGGCACCATCGTATCTCCCCTAGGCTCCCACAATAGCCTTCCAACAGGTCTCCCTGAGTCAGTTCCTCATCTTTCCATCCTGCCCTCCAAACATCTGTGAGTGCTGCCTTCCAAAAATGAAGGATAAAATATGCCACTATTCTGCTCAGATACCTTCACTAGTTTTCAGTTGTCTGGGGAATAAACTCTACTCTGTACCATGGCATTCAAAGCCCCACGGTAGGCCTGATTAAACTTTCTAGACTTGCCCGCACGTATTTCCCCTACATGCTTTCACCTTTGCTTTGCCAGCACCCTTGACCCCACGGGCCCCTCCCTCACTATCTTTGCTGTGTTTCCTCCTTCTGGAATGTTCTTTCCCTACCTCTCCATCTATGAGAATATCATAGTCTTTTATTACTCAGCTTTTAGGGTGGGTCTGCCACCCTCGCCCTTCCACAGAGCACTTTTCTTTTACTTCTACTCAGCCCATGTTTTGGACCATGTGTTTCAGCAGCTCCCTGCAAGTCGGCCTCCTCCCCAGCTAAGGTGCCCGAGGACAGAGACCGGCTGCAGGGCCTAGGCAGCAAGGTTGCGCCTCGGCTCGCAGTCAACATTTGGAGAGTGCATTACTGCACTGCATACGGGTGGTGCAGCGTGGCAGGAGTTATTAACTTCCAATGTTCTTTCTCTTCCAGTGTATGATTTGCCTTCAGCTTCCTCAAGCCTCTTTGGGGAGTCTCTTCGCAGTGGGCCTGAAGACACCACATTCTTGCAGATCAGTGCTGTGGAACGCTGTCCTAGCCAGCTGTCCTCTGTCTATACTGAAGGCTAAAAGCTCCCTGGCTTCTCCTGCGCATCTAGAACCTTTCTGTTGCTTGCCATCTTTTGTTTTCATGCTCTTACAGACTGCATGAAAAAGGATGTCAACTGAATCAGCGGAACCTGCAGAGTCACTGACATGTCCTTGGAAGTCAGGACTGGATGATCAGAACAAGCTTTGCAGGAAAGTTTGCAGTTGCTCCTTTTTCTCTCTGGGTTTGCTGGACCGGGTGACCAGCAGGACTGTCTTTTCAAAGGGAATTTAGAGTCTCGCTCTACTGGATACCTGTTACTTCCTGACTGTCACTCCTCAAAGGACACCAATGAAATAATGTGCATGTGAAAATGTAGTTTGGGGATGACCCTTGGTGAAAACTCTGAATAGGGAAGGACAAACCAATTGCCAGAGGCACAGTGAGCTGCAGCAGCCAGTGCCCTCCCTCATTGCTGGCTGATGCAAGGCCAGCCGTGAGAAGGGAAATCTGCGTCCAAAGCACAGTGCGGCTCAGCTCTTGGAAGCTCCCTGGGTTCCCCTTTCCTCTTGCATATATCCCCATGCTGACCAATCGCTTCTCGATGTTTCTCCAACAGCAACATAAGGTTTTGTATTCCAGCAACCTATCTTTGTTTTGCATTTTAAAGACTTGTTATTTACATCTACTTTCAAAAAAAAAGAATATGTAGGGTCTGTTCTTTCAATGGAAATCGTTATTTTAATCACCTCAGCTACTTACACATTGCTACAACTGTAGCTCAGCCTGGCCCCACCTCTGGGATGTTTGTTTTGCAGTTAGCAAAGGCCACCTTGTGGGAAATGGGGTAGACACACCCAGTACCCCCAGTACTGCAACAGGATCCCTCGTGGGTTGACTGCGACCCCACATCGAAGACCTTGTTTAAAGGAAAAGGTCATCTGACTGGTTCGCCCACTGCCTCCATTCTGGTGCCCTGCCCAGAGAGTGCCGGAAGATGGGAGCACAGGGACACACTGGGTCGTGTGCCTGGGTTCTCTCAGAAAACCAAACTAGGGATGCCCAGCGTCCGCTCACTTTGCACAGCCTCTGCTCACCTCCTTCAGAATATCCACTGATCTGTCTGTCTGTCTGTTTCTCCCCTACACTCCTCTACTCCCTTTTTTTGCACCCTTCTCTCCTTCTTGATGGCGGTTCAGACGTGCTTGTCAACCACCACTGCCTGACCATTGACTCTTGGGAAGGTAGAGGGGACAGGCCTCTACTCCCTTTTTTTGCACCCTTCTCTCCTTCTTGATGGCGGTTCAGACGTGCTTGTCACCCACCACTGCCTGACCATTGACTCTTGGGAAGGTAGAGGGGACAGTTCATGAAGGGTGGGCAGAAGAACACAACCCTTTAACTGAAACTCTGGTTTTTACTGAACTCTGGAGTTTTCACAGAGCACTTGGCCATTTCATATCAAGCCTAAAGGTGTCATTGTCTGTGACACCTTTACAAAAAGCTATTAAAATGATCCCAAGTGCAGGGCATAGGCTATGAAAATTGGCTGAATCCCAAAGACCTGATAAATTCTGACATTCTGGTACTATTGCAATTCAAGATCTCTTTTAAAAAATGTTTTGTGAACGAAAGTGAAACAATGCTGTTTGTCAAAATGAGATAATTACAGTCTTCAACAAGACAGTTAAACAGCTTGGTGTCAGACTTGGTATCTGTGGCAATTTGTATCCTGACAGATGGGTCCTTCCAGTCTGGCTCCACAATCAGTCGTATACTACCTGATTCTGGAGTTCATTCCAACATGCAGGAGAACTAGGTGAATAGCAAACCAAGTGTGGGTTTCATTTTTACAGTGCGCTTGGTCAACCTAGTTTCTGTGACGAGTGGGCTGTGTTCTAAGAAAAGCTACCATGCAGACGTCCAAGTCTACAAAAGAGATGAGTTACCCACTTTACAAAAATCTGCTCTGCTTTACAAAAGGATGCACATCAGAGTCCCTTTCCAAGTGAGCTCTCAGGCTGCATGTAAAATACCACTCTTCCTGCAGACTTTGTGGGTCATGCCAGTTGGCCTAAGCAAGGACACATGCATGCCAACAGTGGCTTAGTTAGTAGCATCCCTCATGTGTCCTCTGTCATACTCTAGAAAGAAAGGAAAACTCTGATATCTTTAGAGAGCTCATCTATCCATTCTTAAATACCGAAGCTTTTACAAGGAACTCAAAATATATTTCATTTGCGTGAAGAGGAGAAAAAAGATGAAAAGGCAAGGTTGTTATTTCAGGTGACACTGTCAGCTTGCCTTGTGGCTTTATATAATTTGAAGTAGAAAGGGGGAAGGAAGACGAAGCAAGAAGCTCAACCTCAGAAACCCCGCGTCATCTCTCCCTTTGGCTGAGAGGAGATGCTTGTGAGCAAGCTCTGATCTTCCCGTGGCCTCTCACGTGACTCCGCCCCTCTCTTGTATCACCTGGGCTGGAGGGATCCAGGTAGCAGCAGCAGCAGCACCTGCAGCAGCTCCTTCCTCAGCAGGAATGGAGCAGGCAGGAAGCAGGGCCCAGTGCAGTCCTGCCCGTGCCCTGCAGTGTTTCCTGATGGCTGCAGGTCTGAGATCAGAGCCTCAGGATGTGATGCATTCAGGTTCCTTCCAGACTCCACGCACTGTCCATAGATTCTAGAATTTCTCCTGACCTTAAAATGTGTCCCTTGCTTACTTTGGCATTGCAGAAGATTAATATATATATATATATATGCTTTCATCGTTGTTTTTGTAGCAGTAACAGTGGAAACTTCAAAAAAGCATTCCCTTTTATTTCCTGGCCTTTTTAGTCTTGATATATAACCATTTTCATAAACATCTGAACAGAAATTGTCATTTCCCTTTTGAAAAAAAAATGGGTGCTTGTGAAAACACACACAGCCCAAAGCCAATTATCCTATTACATTAAAAACAAGAATCGTATGCCTAGAAACATTTCATTTGCTGCATTGTCTTAATTCCCTAAAGGGACTGCATCAAAATGTCAGTTGTAATTTAGCCTTCGATCAGCTGTTAAATATTATTTAAATATTTGCTGGTCCTGTGGGGTATCTCTCTTTAGTCGTGTCTCCCACAAATTACGTAGGTGATTCTAAAGTGGAAAAAAGGTCTTTAGTAGATCACAGCATAGTTTCCATTGATAACAGAATGCTGGGTTTTTTTCAGTTGTCTGTAAATTACCAGCTGTCAAGCACACTACTACATTAATACCTGTTTTGAACAGGGATAAACTTTATGTTCAACTCCCCCATCTGAACACCTTGACTTTCCAGTTGTCTTGAAATATTGGGAGTAGTGACTGTAAATGTTCAGTTTAATTATTTAGTATTTTATTTGACTGTTTTGGCCATGTCATTTTATAGCAGCATTTTTTAATGGCACTTTTTGTTGGTGGTGTGGAATTTCTACGGTTACATTTTTTTTTTTTTTTTGCAATGGATAAAGCAAAAAAAAAAAAAAAAGCACTCATTGGAGAAATGGTGAGTGTAAAAAAGAAGAGATTTATTTTGTACAGACAGCAAAGCATCCTGTGTAATGTTGCTGACATAAAGCACTTTGGGGGGGAAAAGTGGAAATCTGTTTTCCATAAATCACACAGACTCTTGTACATAGATATATACGCTCACGTAGAGAAATGAACTGCATATATCATACTGGATATGGGGCCGATTTTACTCTAGAGGCACATCTGGTGCTTATTGTCATAAATCTTTTAAAGAATTAGGTACACTTTTTTTTCTATTAATATGTATAGTTTTGTGATTTGTCACAGTTATGTTTCATATAATCATAAGTTATTTTGTCTTGTTTCATGAAGTCCTTTTTTTATGTCAAAAGTAAAATGAAGGGATTGTGCACTTGGTACAGAATAAAACTGGAAATAGAGGATACACCCTCCTGCCTGAAATCTCCTTCAGCATGTCGCTTTAAAACACAATGGCAACAACCGTTGTTTGTTTGTTTGTTGTATTATGTTGTTTTGTTTTACCATCAGCCTCCTACGTATTGGGGATGGTAACTATAATTAAAAGCAGATCGAGGGGGTGGGGGGGAGGCAGTGTCCAAGGCCAGCTTTAAAATGCCGCATTGCTTTGGGCCAGAGCTGCAGCCTGGATTTAATTATAGATATGAGGATGAAATGGCAGTAAAAATGAATGTCTCCCTGAATCCTTTACATGTTGGGAGTGTCCATAAATAAAACATGAAGTTTTATTTCATCAGATTTAATTAAAGCTTTTATACATGTTTTATTGGTTATTCTATTAATCCGCTTCACAAACTGGATAAATGTTTGCTAGGGTTTGGAGTTTATTTGTGCCTTTTCAAAGTAGCTCTACATCATGCTTCAGAAATGCCTCTAGTGCTTGCTCCTCCAGGTGCTGGGGTTTCAGCATGCCGGCGGCTGCTGGAGGGGCCTTTTCAGCCCTTGAAACCCTGCAGAGGAAGACACAAACATCAGCTTCCCGGGAGCTGATTCCCTGACCTTTGTGGTCCTCTGAATTTCCCCGAAGGCAGAAAGGGCAGTTCCCGTTTCCCTGGTTTCCTGTCCTGTCCACTCTGCAGGCTTTGGAAGGCCACCTGTCCCACTGGCTATGAAGAACTTTCTTCCTCTGCTGCCATCCATGGGGGAGATAGGGGTGAGGTCAGGATATTCTCACACCTGGCTGGCCTGCTAGCCAAGTATATGAATCTAAAAGATACCACATTGCAAGGATCATTCTTAGAAAGCCGACTGTTCTCTCACTACATTTTTAAGACTTGGGAATTATTTTAAGGAAAGATACAAAGCAGAAGGGACGATGGTCCCACGCATCTTGTCTGGCTCCTCAGGACCAGATAGCAGACGCTGTTGGGTTCAGGGTTGTGGAGATGACAGTAGCACTGACTGCCAAGACACAAAGAGCTCCTCAGCTCCCTAAAAGGAGGCTGCTGGTGGGAGTGTGATTGGGTGCAATCTCTTTGGAGAACAGTTTGGCATTAAGTGGCAGTTAAAGGTCCACATACCCTGCAATCCAACAATTCTACTCCTCTCAAGAGATTCTTAGGACAGTGATGGATCAGCTATGAGATGTTCATAGCAATGTTATCCCCAGTAGCTCAAAACTGGAAATGACCCAACCGTCCATCAACAATAGAATGAATAAGTGAACCCCTAAGTATCATAGTGAAATGCTGTACAGCAAAGGAAACGGCAGAACTGCAGCCACATACAGTAACTCAGAGCTAAGTCTCACAAACCGTGTTGAGAGAAAGAAACAAGACACTGAAGCAAATAGAGTGATTCTACTTATATACAGTTCAAAAACAAGCAAAACTCACCTCTAGAGTTTAGGTGGTAGATGTATAAAGAATAGCATGGAAAATATTATCGCAAAGGCCCAGATACTGATTAACTCTGGTTGGAAAGAAAGGGCATGTGCAGGACTTCTGGGGTGCTGACGGACAATGTTTTATTTCTTGACCCAAGTGTTAAGATTATACAGGTGTTCGCTTTATAATTATTTGACTGCGCATATATATATTTTATAGTTTCGTACAAATAACGGTGAGAGACAAGACTTACATCACCTACTCCAAAGGTCTGCAAACTTTTTCTGCA